GCAGATGAGTTGGATAACCTTCTCTGTCTGAGCCCAGCAAGTAGAGTCCTTGCGGCAGAAAATGAGATGAGGCTATTATTATACCAAGCACGTACTTAGCTCCAAAATTGATATTGTAAGTCAAACAGAGAGTTTCATCAGATTCATTACCAGTCCTGTTTTGCTGATTGCTCTTTAACAATCTCTACCCACAGTCCTATTATCTCAATGAAACAGTACACTCTTGTTTGCAAAGCAAGTTCTCTAAATAGCAATTGCTGCAAGAAGTACTGCAGTGAAAGGTGGATCTATAAAGCCATTAATTGAACTAGCTTTGGGGCACAACAGTTGATGTCTTGGTCTGAACTTGCCAAGGTCTTTCCCTGGTCTGGCCTAGAAGTAGGATGTAAATATCCTATAAGTAAGAAAAGGTATTAACTGAGTGGAAATCCTCTGCATCCTCTGTACTCTGAAGTTAATGTCATTATCAGTTCCATTCAGCCCCTACAGCATGTGAGGATTTTTAATATTTGGAAAAGTTGAATATTCAGGGAGCAGATACTGCAAATCAAACATGTTATTAACTCCTGAGACAGAAGCTACTTGATTTGAATTGAATGCGTGTTAAAGCTAATATTTGAATCAACTTTGAGAATTTTTTGTTATAACCATGCTAGCACATGTGTTGGCCTGTCTTTCCAGTATTTGGTCTCTTCCCAGAAGAAGAAAATACATATCTTCCTGTGCAGCTATTAGCTGATACATGAACCAGAAGTTTAATTTCTGTTGTCTAGAGGAGTCTGAGGACTGCATTTGAGTCTAATGCTGAGAAGGTGCCAAATGATGAAATGACATGATGTGACATATGATATGAAGAGCAATTGACTAAATATAGTGAGCCCACGTGTGTATCAGTTTCTGTGTTGGTAGAAAAATATAATTTACAGTTATTGATTAAATGTAGGTGACTAGAAATACTCATTGTAAACTGAATCAATGCCTCCCATGCCTCATGCTCATTTCTGAGGGCCACATGCCTGCAGCAGCAGACCTACATTGTCATATTGGGAGATAAATCCCAAATAAATCATCTGATGCTCTTGCAATTCCGTATGTCATAGACAGCAAGAGGCTTAGCTACCTGAGAGTAAATCACTGTGACTGCAAGAGCCCTAAAGCTACATCTGCTTGTTTTCCACTCCTAGTAGTCTAGAGTCTGTGTTTAGAGTCTGAGAGAATGATAACACATCCAAGATAGTCCTTCCATCCGGATGTTCCATAACAAAATGTGTCTTGAATTCTATAGTGGTGGCTATTTATTTCAGGTGGTTTGGAGTATGCCTATGTATGTAGTTCACTGAATAGCTGTCAAATGCCTTTTAGACTAGGATTTCTCAATCAAGGAGGATTTTGATGAGTTTTTATGAGGCTTGAATCCATTCAGAGCTTGAATTTTTTGTAGAAGGCCTTGTCTCTGTTTCTACAAGCATTTACCTGCTAGGGAACATTTTCAGATTATTAAAAAATCTTGTACTGTGGTTGAAGACATCCTGTTGCTTCAATTAGAATATGCCTAGCAGTTCTGAAATGAAAACTGGTCACACCTTTGTGAACACTAATGCTAAATTGCATCTTTGGTGCATAAGAATTTGGCAGCTGCCAGCAGTTTCCACACTAATCAACTCCTTGCAGCAATAACTAAATCTGCTTACTGTCTTACAGAGAGGCCATTTCATCCTTCTCTTCTGTACAACTGAGTCCCTGCCTCACTTGGGGCTTTGAGTAATTAGGAAATGGGAGTTGCAGCTGTAGGTACAGCACTGTGTTACAGCTCAGGGCCAGCACACTCACACAGTGACAGTCACTAGCATCAGGAAAACTGGAATCCAAATATGCTGTACATCTGCTATGTTTAATGAAGCTTTTTTTTTTCCCCTCACCCTAATCAATGTCTTGTTTTATAAGTGCATCCAAGTCCACATCTCACTGATGTTTGGACCCCTTCCTCAAGTCAATAGAAATATTTTTATTCAATTATTAGAATAGGAACAGAATCAAATCCTTGAAACTGAAAGCACAAGTTTGTTTAACACTGAGGAAGTCACAATAAATAATAATTGGCTTCTCCTAACTAGTAATATAAGAAACAGAGTGATTGTTGAGAGAACATAAGTATAACAATTGGGCTCTGTGTATTCAAGGAACTTAGCACTGAATCTCAGCGCATTTAGGTGATCATTTATCCTAAATACCTCTCTCATATTCAGTGTAACTTCAATTTGCCAAATCTAAAAGGGGAATAATGGAATTTCCCCATCTCACAGTACTGCATTACTCAGTACTTTTACAATCTTAAGATCCTCAAATATCATGGTACTGAGGACATAATAATTGTTTACAATCACAATGGTAATTTCATTGTATGAAATCCGCATTTTTTGTTGTTTGCATTTATATTGCAAAGTTTATATTAGTCATCACAGATCGTCATTTATGTATATAACCCAAGTCTAAATTTCCCTGGTTTTGTGCTTCCCAAGTGGTCAGTGAGAATTGATAATGAGGCTTTTATGCAAATATGTGAGAATGTGAGCTTTGTGTCCATGCTTAAATGAAATATCTGATGAAGAAAATGGGACGTACTGGAGGGCATACTTCTACAAAGTAATCCTGAGTGATATGACTAGATTTATTTAAAAATCTGAACTTACAGATAGCTTGAAAGTGCTAAGTTTTGTCATACAGCATATTATTCTTTATGTCAAAGACATATGTAGCATTTGTAGAATAATCATTGTTGAGAAATCTGAATCCATTAGAAAGAGGGTGCTGAGTAAATTGCATAATCTCTTTCCATGTAATTTTTTTGTCTCTACTAAAAATTTCTTCCTGCTAAAGGCAGAATAGGAGTTGCCATCAAGGAGTTTGTTAATTTTCCCCAGTCTGCTTCAGAGCAAGATTTAATTGCTACTTCTTCCTCTGCCTTCTTAAATTTCAGATTTGTCAATGTAGCTTTTTTTGTACTTACTCTATAACATATTATTTGGTTCTTTATATTCCATAAAAATATTCAATCTATCTTTAAACCCAGTAGCTAATATAATCTACTTTTACCTGATGGGAGAAAGCATGAGGTCAGACCAAATTATGAGACCCTAAATTTGGTTAATTAAAGATGTTTTTTGGCCGTAAGTCTTTAGAATGTCCTGATATTTCATGTCATATTTTTCCAAAGTGTTTGTCTTAAAACTTCTGTCTTAAAACTAAAAAGACTGTGGTTTTATGACGTTCAGGTGGTATCTGTTTTGTGTTACAGATTAGAAAAAACTGTCCATAGTCTTCAATAGAAAAACATATTTCTAAATCAGTTAGTGCTGGCTAAAATTGTCAATATGTAAACCATAGGGGGCTCATCGTGGGTATTATTTTAATTTTGCTTCATGGAATATATCAGTATATAGTGGGTACTTTTTAAAAGCTTCACAATGGTCTAGAATTTAGAAGTTGTGTTTAATTCCACTGAGAAAAGTCAGTACATTATATATTTCAAAGCAGTAAAATATTTGACCCTGAAAAACAGATTCCATAAATAGCTATTCTAAAAGCCTATTTCCTGAAACAAATCCTTGCTGAGGAAAAATTGCAGTTGTACTTCCCAGGGGAGTGAATGAATATTTCTTACCTTAGGGAATTTAAGCAAAGCTTGTTTTTCTCTGTGTCTCTTTTCAAGCCTGCTCAAAAAGAAAAATAGCTCTGGTTTTTCACTGAAGGCTGGCTTGTCATGTTATTTAGCATTACATATATATATAACACACAATCTAATAAGACAGATCATATATTTTAAAACAATTACAGTCTCTTTAAGTTATAAATTCCATCAGTGGTAAGCATATTTCATTAGATGAACAGGTTATTGATATATCATCAGTGGCTTGCTATGTATCTATTCTGCTTATGTGGAGAACAGTATGAAAACTTTTTTTTTTTTTTTTTTTTTTTTTAATTGAGCCCTCCCACTTACTCCTTGTAGTTTGAGGCAGTTATCTTGAAATATTTTCACATATGGCCAAGCTATAAAGATGCACTTTTTTGTTATGTTTTCTGTCACTTTTTATGGCAGGAAAAGGGGTGAATGCTTTACAAATGAGCTAAATACCTGTAAAATACCTTGCAGCTGAAGAAGCCTGGAAGTCCTCAGATGTACTTACTGAAGTAATTCCTCACTCATTTTCACATTATCAATAATATGATAATGATGAAAGAAAGTAAAAAGAATGACAGAAGGTATCAGCTGGAAAGCACAATTGGGCTGAAATGAGGAGGGAGTGACTAAGAGAGAATGATGAAGGTACAAAAATTAAGAAGGAGGTGATAGAGAAAAAGGTACATGATACTGTGAGAGATAGAGACTTGACCTACAATTAGAGGAGAAAATACCTAAACGAATGAATTAAAAATTAATTAAAAAGGAGGTAATTTCTGAAAAGGGGAGCAAATATAAATCCCTCTTTGCCTCTTCAGTAGGCTTAGAAGTACTACATTCTTTGTAAAATACATTATTGATAGAATAAACCTTGACATGTTAATATAAGGTTTGTTTTATGTGAGTACTATTATGTAGAAGTTTATTGTTCGTGACATTTTTAGAAGATGAGTACAAAAGCTATTTCAGCACAGCCAGTACAAATGTACTTCTTTTTAAGGTAAGGACTGTAATACTGTATCCCTGCCCACTGCCCACTCCCTCCTCCAAGAAGAAAAAAAAAAAAAAAGGAAAAAAAAGGTCACCAAGTCTAATAACTTTTTGAAACACACAATTTCTCAAAGAAAATTACTCCTGGAAGAAATAAGGAATTCTTAAAATTTTGAACGCATTACTATTTGTATCTTTATCAGTAGACTGGAGGCAGGCAGCTCTAGAATTTTTAGTTTGTGAAAAGAATTTTTAGTTTGTGAAAAGAACAGAAAAGAAATACAGTAACAGTAACAAAATATCCATAATTCTTCCCTCTTCTCCTTAGACTGGAATGGGACACCTGCGTGTTACAAAAGAAGGTCTTCGACTGGAAGGGGAGTCTGAATTCTTATTCCCTCTTTATGCCAAAGAAATCCATTCTAGAGTGGTAAGCAGATAATCTTTCAATAATGCTATTTACACACATATTTCTGCATACTTTGAGGTCAGTGCTCTGATGCTATGGCAGAATTAACATTTATCTCTTAGACATGTCATAAGCAGTAGCTCAAAAAGGATTTATAAAGGTTGTCATATAAGTAATGCCAAAATTTTAAGAGTGTGTGGAAAGATTTTCATTTAACTGAGATTATTTTAAAACACAGGCTTCTCTATGAAATTGTTTGTTTTGTTTATTCATCCACTACAGAATAGCTTCAGTATCTCTAAAATTAATGGACCCCATTGGAAAAATACAATTTCCCTAATAAATTTAGATTTTCTCACTTCTAGAACAACATTATCAAATGTATGATATCTTTATATTTTTGTGTATATAAGATCTACAAGTCTAAATAGAAAGATTTAAGATTTAATCTTGTTTACATAGACAGAAAAGTTTGTTGTTGTTGTTGTTATTGAGGTAAAAAAAAGAATAGCATAATGAAAGAAAATATAGATCAAACAGATTAACCTTAAAATGTCACCAAGAATGGGAATGTTACTAAAGATTTGTGTGTAAGTAGTAGGTTTAAAAAAACAAAAAGAGAATCTGAATTGTTTTTTAATTATCCAGGGGGACTCTGAAACTTATTGCAGTGAATTTTTTTTCAGAGGGTTATCTACTTTTGTCCAGTAAAATGAATATTTTTCAGATCTATTGACCATAATCTAAACTCTCACAATATAAAGCCTTATTTTATGAATGTTATCAGTAACCAGTGGGACATTTCATTTAATAAAATACTATTTTAGGGGCAGTAAAAGCCAAATATGGTGCTTTCATATCTTCAAACAAGAAGAAATAGCCAGTCTTCTGAACCTACAGAAAAACTGTTTGTATTGCTACAGCAAGAGAAAATGTAAATAAACATTTCAGAATGAGGTTGTTAAAATACTTGATTACTAAAATTTAAGTAATGCAAAAATATTTTACTTATATTAAGCCTTTGTTTTCCTCTCTTTCTGCAACAAGTATTTCCAGTATCAGGAACAGCTCTTAATTAAGACAGTGAAATTTCCTTACTGAATCTGTATTTCCATTCTATTTCTTATGCTATATTCTTTTCTGCTTGATAGGCAGTGGGAAAACTATTTATGTGCTTAAATGAAGCTCCCTTGAGGTTGTTTATCCAGTAAGACATGTAACTTTGTAAGACCAGCATAGCTAATACTTAAGAACTTTCTCTATTCCCAAACATCGTTATGCAACGTTAAGCTACCATTTGTGCTCTCTTAATATTCCTTTCAGCTCTTAATACATTTTGTAGAACGTAGGAAGAAAGAGGTGTGGCAGCATCTAATATGAGCTTAGCTGGGTAATGACCCATCATGATCATTAGTAGTATGCATTAATTAGAGCCTTCAGGCTACTGCTTGTCTTGGCCCACTGATAGTTCATCAGAGGTTTTCTGTTTGTTTGTTTCCTTGCTTTTTCAAATATTTAAACTCTCTAGAGGCTTAATTGCCTGTAGCTTAATCTCCTGGGTGCAATCTATATATTTATTCTCATAAAGTTACTTATTTGTTATGCCTTCTGTTTTTAAGTTTGTCTTAGAGAATTGGGCCCATCACAGCTATCATAGGAGCTTTATCCCTTTCCTTAATAGTTTTCTCCTTGAGGTCTCCTAACAGCTTTTCTCACCTAATGAGGTCTTCAAAGTGCTGAGACAATATGTAGCAGAAAATCTACTTGCTGTGTATCATCTCTGGAGCCTATTATAAGTTTATGCCTTCATTATGAGTTCAACACAGAGTTGTAGGCAACACCGTTGCATCTTTGCTAATACATTTTCAATGAAAGATAAAAGATGAGGGTTTTTTTAATGTTACTAGATTTTAATTAATGTGGCAGCTACTGATTAGAAAACAGTGTATTAGCATTTACATTTGATATTACAAATTACTAACTTGTTTTTTAAATCAACCAGTGGCAAGCAAATAAATGTAATAAAGATACCCAGATTTGGGTGTCATTTAGACATCTACTTAAAGGTGCTATATTCACCCAATCTTTGTTGACTTCTTTTTCCACTTCATACTGACTTGTTACCATTAATGTTCATTTTAACACATTGCTTAATTTTTTCCTAAGACATTCTTTTTTTTAGATTTTGTTAGCTTTCACTTTTTCCTGATACAATTTACAAAATGAGATTCATTTCTTCTGCTCACTTAGTGACTTCTTTTGAGAGAGTCTGTCTTCCTACTTGTAAAATACTGGGGTTTTGGTTTTTTAAAAAAGTGTAAGTTTGACTCTGTACTCTGTATTGCTTCTACCACTGTCATTAGATAAGTGTTTGTAATAAAATTCATCATATAAAATGTGTTCAAAATTCTGAGGTTATCTAATACTCTGAAGTATTACATTACAATGAGAACATGACTTGGGAGTTATTTTCAAGGGTTAGCCCTTCAAGGTGCCGCATAGGCTCTCTTGTCCAGGAAAAGTACCAGAAGCCACAACTGTGAAAGAGACTGATCTTTAACAATATTCCAGTAATTACAAACACATTTATCTAGCAACGAGTATCTCCTCTGAGGTCACAAGCAGGCAGCTTGCTAATACCCTCTTCATATCATGTATTCCCTGGTAATTCGGAAGCTGAGATCTGCTTAGGCATTTTTATCAGTTACTGAGTTCTTGTCCTTCAGACAAAAAGTGTGCTTTAGTGTGAAAGCACCTGTGCTGCAAAAAACTTCCTCGCATCTTTTGAAGTCTACCAGTGTATCTACAATTTGTTGATCCACATGAGCATGATCAGACCTTCTTTCCCCAGATGATTTTCAAATACTTAATGTCAGATAAAGACAGTGGCCACTATGATCCCCCTGAAAATCAGCTGCATTTAAAGATAATTCGGGTGGTAAATCAAGTAAAAAACATAAGAAGAACCCACTCTGTGCCTTCTTAACAGATTTTTAGGATACTTCTAAATGCCTCCTTCCAGGTCTCTTGCTGTGAACTGGTTTCATTACTGTCTGTATATCTAATTTGGTGGGGCACAGTGAGCAGCTAGGTCTTTCAGAACAGTTGTTCAACTGCTGTTCAAGACAAGGAGTACCTTAGGGAGGCTCCAACAGGCCTGAAGTACAGAGAGTTAGAGTGTAAGGTCTGGGAATAAGTAATGGAAATGGTACATCACCTGGGAAGAGTTCAACAAGCAGAACAACAAGCCATGAGTTAACACAATGGGATGTTTTGGCACTGGTGAAATAATTCCATTCTGGCTGCAGTCTAAGAATGACATGAAATTTTGAATTGCCTACGATAGCTCTTCTGGATTGTGGCGAAGTGTGGTTGGCATGAATGAAGATGCCAATTACACCTGCTTGGCATGCCCTGGCTTCCTTCAGTAGCACAGAATGATGGGTAGGCATGAGGCTCTGATTGTTCAGCAAATGCCCCAGATCATGTCATGATTCAGGGATGTGGACGAGAAGGTGATGCTGTTCATTGCACTCATATACTCCTGTCATCCTTCAGAGTGGCAGATTGGGAGACAATTTAATTTAGACTAACAGTCTTATTTGTACTGTCATCTATTAAAGTCAGTATTGATCTAGTCATTCTGCCACTTTCTCCATCACTCACTGTTGGAACTTCCTTGCCAGGAGAGTCAGTGCCATGTGCCAAAATTAAGCTACAGCCTGGAGATTGCATGGACCACTGAGGAAGCAGAAGGCACATGCATGTTTCTTGCCGAATTAATACAACAGTATGAATTCACAAAGTAGAATGCTCACACTCAATTAAATGGCTATCTTGTAGATAGTAGAAGATCCGGTACTTATGCATTTTTTCCGAAAGTTAAAATGTTAGCAGCCATGTTCATTGGTCCAGTAACACAGATTTTGTTCACCTGAATTATTCCCTAAAATTTTTTTCTTATTTTAAATCTGATACAGTTAAGTAATCAGAAATATCTACCCACATTATTTGATGACATTTGTGGATAGTTTTGTAGCTGCAAAGATCTTTTGGTGACTGAGTCGATATCAACACTAGACTAAATTTTGAAAATTGTTAACAACTGTAATTGTTCTGCCTAACGTAGTGTTTGCTTTCTCCGTATTTCAGGACTCATCACTGCTTCTCCAGTCTACTCACAATGTGACTGTGAATGCTCGCAATTCAAATGGAGAAGTCACAGGCAGATTAAATGTGGGTAAGTCTGAGTGACTATTCCTTGTTCACTGTTTTGGAAACACTGTAATGAATACTTGTAAAGAGCTTTGAGAATATAAAGCCTTAAATACATGATTATTTATTTCTGCTATGACCATATTTGAATAGTCCAGCTGTAACTCGGTAAGTGGCAGCAGTATATTTTTGATTTCTCATTAGTTTTTTACACATTTGAAGCACTTCTTTATTGCATAGTTATGCAAAGGTCTCTGCAAAAGTTACTTTTTTTTCTTATGTCAATAGCTATTGATAGTTGCAAATCATTTTCTAAGAAAACGCAACAAGAAAACATGACTAGAGTCTCTCTTCATTTCCTAGTATTCCAGAGACTAAAACATTTAAGCAGATGTCCTTAAAAAAATTCAAATTCAAAACTCAGAAATGTGCATCATTTATTATGTGTGATAACAGTAAAATATATTGGTTTACTGAGTGAAATCAGTAGATCTAGACAGATGTAAGTGAGAGACCTTGGCAGAAAGAATAAGCAGACCTTACTCCTTAAATCATATTTTTAAGGCAAGAATGGCAACAATGTGTGTCAGATAAAAGGGGACTTTTCATAGCTTTGTTAATATTTTTCAAGCTTTATTTGACTTTGGAGAAAAATGTAACAATTTATTAACTCATTCCTTACAAGGTTCTCAGGCAGTAAAGCATAAATTCCTGGTTATTTAACTGTAGACTAACCTCATATATTTAAATAATTTTTAAATAATTTACTAGATTGGGAGCCAGATGAGCACTGATGAGCAATGTTTCCATGCTGTTGGGAGTAGGTACCTTATGTGAAAATTCCTATTTGAAGAATCATCATTTCAATTCATTGAACATTTTGCTAGCTTCACTGTTTTCAAATGCAAGAAAAAATAATTTAAAGTGTATAAAGGAGCCTGCTATTCCCCTTAAAATATATAATCATACAATTAATCACAATTTGGCCTTTAAATGTTTCCAAATTCCTTTCTTTGTGATTCAGTCTATCATAAAGGTCTGCATGATTTCTCTTAAGAAAATGCCCCTAAATATTTATCAAAAACTGATAGTAGCAATGATATCTCATTTTGTTAATAATCAAGAATATGAAATGTACGTTTTCATATTATTAGTAAAGTTATTAAATCAGTTTGCAGTAATTAACAATTCAGTGACTATATGATCAAAACCAAAGATGTCCATGGTCAAAATTTCTGTGGCATAATACATTTACTATTAATTTCTGTCTGCTGCATACTGTTTGTGGTTGCCTATCATGGGACCACGTGTGTATCAACATTCTAGTCATATGTCGCTTGTGCCTAATGACCAGAAGTTATGAGGAGGTCCATTGGGAAGGGCAGACTACAAAGCAGATCATTGACCCCCACACTAATTTGTCCAGCCAGATCCCTGCTGAAGTCTGAGAAAGTTACAGGTGAGATCATGTCAGACAGTAGCTCAAAGGATGAATTGTTTGCCAGTGTCCAGCCTGCATCACATAAACTGTTGAGAAGGAAAGTCTGCTATAAAGATATCCATAAAAATTTCATCCTCTATTTAGTTTAGGCAGTTGTCATATGAGTGGCTCCATCTTATAATAGGTGCTTCTGCATGAAGGTGAAAAAAACTGCTCTGATTTCTGCTGAACTCAATTCAGTTGCTGTATTTGAATGTACTCATAATACACTTCAGGAACTTTGTCCCGGTGCAAATAAGGTGTCTCCGTATTTCGTGCTGGAAACATGAGATACCTTTGGCAAGTGGAAGGTGTATTGTTTATCAGGCAGTGCTTCTGCACGAACAGTTAAACTTTGTTGGGGAAAAAAATGTCAGCACTTAACAGTGGTGTAAATCAATTGCTTATTCAGACTTCAGCACCTGTAATGTAACTGAGGTCAATAAATGAGCAGCCTGAGATATTCACCCATAGTATATCTTTCCTGTTAACAAACAAAACTTCAGTGCTGGAAACAGTGTAAAGAGTGCATTTTCCTGAAAGAAGTATTTTACTTGTTGTGCCAGCCCATGTGTATAGATCTTACCTTAGGAAAATGAAACCTGGCAAAAATAACAACAAATCCCAGTCATTGGTTTGGGTTTTTCTACCCCTTCTCAGTCCTATTTAGTGTTCTTATGAGAGTGTTAACAAGGAGAAATACAGAAAGTGAGATGGAATGTGCTGCCCTAAGTAAATAGGAAGTTAAAAATATCTGTTCTATTGGGCTAGAGACATGTAGATGGAAGAAAACATATAAACTGAAGACATGATAGACAGAGAAAGGTCAACACAAATCCATGTTGTAGAATATGGACTGAGGTATTTGGGGAGGAGAGTTCTGATGGGAAATGTCTCATCAGTGACTCATTACTATCACCCATATTTAGTATTTTCCCTTCTTATTGGTAGTTTAATTCTGTTTCTCTGCTTTTTTTCACCTGTTTTTTTCTGGCTGTATCCCTGTAATGATACCTGAAAAGGCACATTGAAAACTGCTCAGAGACAGTTTTGAGTCTTTAAGCAGCAAAAGGTATTTATTAGAGAGCAACGCTGGGGGCTAGCTAACTCACGCTGGACAAAACTAGCCCAAAGTTATCAGTGTAAAGTCAGGTATTTATACAGTTTTGTGAGAGATTACATCATTTTTTACATGCATATTCATATTATTGCAACATTTCATTATAATATTCATAGCAGGCAGAGTTTGGGTGGAGTCTGGGCGGAGTTGTCCTTTTGGGGTGCTGTTTCGAGGGTCATTCCTGTTTCTTCATCTTCAAGGGGTCCCATTCCAGAAGACTTCCTCGCTTTGAACTTTTCAACTTTCTTAGTTGGCTGTCTTCCTGATGGTGAATTTTGCAAGATTTTGGATTCATGCCCCTATTTTGCCACTTATTCCTTAAGGAACCCTTCCTTATGTCTGTTTAGGTATGTGTGTTAGCATTTTTGGTGTTCTTTATTTCCTTGTGTTCTTACTTTATGTTCTTTGTGTTAAGTGTGTTAGCATTCTTTGGCCAGGTGCTATCTTCCACTTGCCTTGAATTTTGGTTCTTTTAATTCTTTTACTCAGAACATGTATTCTGAGTTAACTCCTTCAGGACCCTGCTCTGTTTCAGTAATGTGCAGTTCAGTGTATTTTGTACCTTATGATGTTTTGTAGCTCTTTAAGCTTTTCCTCAGGAAAAGCCAAATACTTAGTGTTGTCCTGCTGAAAAGTTATCTGGCTGTGCAGAGAAGCTGTAACTGGCTTAGATAATACGTGAGGAAACCCGTACAAAGGAGCAGAGTGTAGATTGGAAGACCTGCATCTCAAGTATTTTAAAAGTCTTCAGTGTGCAAAGGCAATTCAAATTCAACACTGAAGCAGGAAAGTTCTGACGACACTCGGGCTTGCTCTACAAAATTACTTAGATCAGAGGGTGAAATAGTGATTTGAGTCTGGGAAATAAAAACTACATCGAAAGAAGTGCTAAAGTGCATTTGCATTTTATTTGAAATATTTGATGTTTCACTAATCTCTCTTGACTGGCAATTCTGTTTATTAAATTCATGAATCATTAAGAGCTGGTCTTACATGCTGTCTGGTGTAGTTGGTATCATTGTAAATACATAAATGAAATATTACAAATATTAAATCACAGTAATTTTTGACTGATACATAAGTGTTGGAAGAGCAGTAAAAACTTAATACTTTAAAGAACTCTGTTAATACCTAAATATATGGTCAAATACCATCAGCTGGGGTGACAGTCTGTTAAAGTAAATACATAGCTTTATATTTTTAGCCATCCTTAGTGACTCATAAAATGCATGTATTTAAAATGCTGTTCCTTTATAAGGAGTGTGAAAAATAGATGTGTGGCTTATTTACTTCATATGCACAAGCCTTTGCTAAAGAGTTAATGTCTTCCACAATTGCCAGTATTCTGGAATTATATCTTAAAACTCTAGTCATCTTATAAATACAAGTAGTTGCAGTTGTGAAGGAGCTGTATAGATAAGTTTGGGATTGTTCTGAAGATGACAATATAATACAGATGACAATATAATACTCATAGCATTATAACAAAAATACCTTTTAACTCATGGAAACTGTGATTCAAATGATCTGTTAAAATAAGTCACTAAGATTAATTTAAATGCCCAGTCTTCAATAGAAGTAATTCACAAGAGAGTTCTGAAACAAATCATTACTTCAAGGAGTTTGTTAAATTCCTCATATGAGGATAACAAGGCACAATGTTATGTATTCCCTCCTGAATGACAGATATAATAAAAGGACATCAAACATGAGCAACCTCCAACATGACCACTCCTGTTTTAAAGTTTCTAAATGTTCCTCAGTTCACCTGCATGACATACCTCTTGCAGGAGCTATCTGGACATTAGAGATCTTTAAAAAGAATTGCTGTAGATGTTGAGTTTTGGTCTGTGTTCCAAAATACACTGCTTTCAGAAGCCTCACTGAGTGCAAATACTTTTAACTGCTTGCCAAGAAAAGAATACTGTCAAAATAATAAGGAGCTTAAATTTTAAAAAAACCATACCAACTCTATGTTTTACTCCTTTTTGACTTCAATGTCCCTCTGGATGACAAAACAACCCATTTTGTTGGAATTACTCCTTATAATCATGTAAAACTCATATATGACCAAAAAACCCAAACAAACAAAAAACCAAAACAAACAAACAAACACAAAAAAGGAAATAGGACCTTTAATTAAGGGATTGGGGGAAGTGATTGTTTTAGCAACATTTCTGGGAGAAATGGGACTTCAAAGGATGCTGCCCAACAGACAGCAAGGAAGGAATCTAAGGAAGGCATAATTATAGGAAGATATAGGATTGATAGTCATAGGGAATTAAAAAAACTGTGGAGAGAGTTGTATATAGGCAAGGCAAGGATATCTACAGAACAGATTATAATTATTTTCATTATAATAGCTCCTGTCTTTAAAATTGTTAATAAGGTCCAGGTTTCATTATCACAGCTTGCTTATCAGCCT